CCTGACCTTCGGTGATATATTATTCGTCTTCGTCTGTATGATGAAACAGCGATGTTATTAATTCCCTAAATATATATTAACGAAGTTAATAGTAGCGGTTAAATCTGAAGTGTTGTATTCTTATTTAATTGTTAATAGTATAGAACGGATGGGGAATATATCTGTTGCCTAAGATATATTCGAGACACGATTCCAATGTAAGTTTGCGAACAAGAGTACTACGAAACACGAAAGATAATAATCAACGCAAAATCATTCGTCTAGTAACAGTGAAATCATTTGTCTAGCAAGAAGGAAATTATTTTCTGAAAGTAATAATTAGTTACGATAATGTCTGATCTTAGAGACAAATATACTTAAGTAGTATAATAAAGTTGGCTAAGTCGGTGGCCTCATCACTAAGCATCGACACTACAGGGCTCTATTGTCACGGTGAGGGAGCGCAGCCGCCTCGCGAAGAAACCCGCTGACAACAATCAGCTACATAAAATATGTTGCATAAATTAGTGTTTCTTGTTAAGCGCTCACAATAAAATCATATTTGCTTACTGTCGTGAAATATTCCTGTGTGATATATATGTATACATTTTTTGCGTGATTTATGTATTAGTATTACTTAAGTATCGTTACTATTACCCAGTTCTAGTTTTATATCCATTTTGCTGTTAAGTATTAGTATGTGCATACAACTTGCCGCATCTTTTCAGTGAGTGGTTTTTACATTCTGCATAAGCTATTTTTTGTCGGGGTTTAAAAACGAAATTTGTTCCGAAGACACATAGTGTTGAAATAACCAACGTATGGAATGGCGGCGAAATGAACGTTGTTTTTTTTTTTTTTTTTTTTTTTTTTTTTTTTTTTTTTTTTTTTTTTTTTTTTTTTTTTTTTTTTTTTTTTTTTTTTGAGAAAAATTTTACAACAAAGCTAAATAGCAGTAGCGGCAGTAATGCATGACACCTTGGGAGAGCGTTTTGATAAAGCTTACGATTTTTGCGGAGTTAGACAAACCTTTTTTTCACAGCTAACCGTTTATTTTGTTCATTACAGCAACTGTTTTTGAGGGATGACAGATGGAAGACTCTATAATAGTAAGTATATATTAATATGTGGGAGTAATAGTAAGACGGAGGGAAATGCGTGATGACTTTCTCGTTGGCACCGGCGTTGTTTATTGTATTAATAGCCAATAATATTAATTACAACATTCACTATGCGCCACGCAACAGCATTAAACCTATGACATCACTCCATCAGATTGTGGCGCATATACATATTGACATTAAATAATATTCATCTTGTTCTTATCATCATTACATATATATCCACAAACATGTATTCAGTAACGAAAGATTTTATGAACAAAGAAGCACCGCCGAACTATGTTGCAGGGCTTGGCAGAGGGTGAGTCTTTCGATTCAATTTCAATCTTGGACAACAATGACTCGCGTACAAATTAACTTACTGATCTTTGGCCGTCTCACAGTGCAACTGGCTTCACAACACGATCTGACATTGGTCCAGCCAGAGAAGGTCCATCTGACTTCAGGTAAGACCCTTTCTCTGCTCTTCTTCCTTGCCTTTATTATGGTTTGCCGTTTCTAGTCACTTCAGAGAGTCAACCGCGCTCCTTACGACTTTTCCTTAAGATAACAACCTACACTCGCCTTAACTCCATATAACGCATCTTCTCATGGTATGTAATACTTTTTCTTTGTTCTGAACTGATAGCTAATGACTACAATTTCATCGATTTGTTATTTTTCGCCAGTGATTCTTTACAGAAAAAAGTACAGCAAGATGAGGATGATGACGATGAGAGGTTTCAAGACCCGGATAACGAAACCGGGCTCTTTTCCAGTGCTCCCTATGAAGAAGATGACGAGGAAGCAGATAGGATATATGATGCCATCGATCAAAAGATGGACGAGAGACGCAAAGCCAGAAGGTTAGTATTGCGCTACGTACCAACATTATATGCATCCGTAAGCTTTTATTCTAAAATTTGAATTGTCTACAAAAACAGGGAAGCTCGCGAGAAGCAAGAACTAGAGAAGTACAGAGCAGAGAGACCGAAAATTCAACAACAATTTGCCGATCTCAAGCGCGGTCTTTCTGCTGTTACCGATGACGAGTGGGCAAATTTACCTGATGTCGGAGATCTCGTTGGCAAAAATCGTAAGAAGACAAATTTGAGAGAGAGATACTATGCCGTGCCGGACTCGCTACTTGAAAAAGCAAAGCAGGAGAGTCAGTATGTTACACAGTTAGATGTACAGCAACAGGTAAAGTACATCACAATTGTACCTCATTTTCTCATAACGTTTCTGACAAATTATACCTTTTATCTTTTTAGAAATACGGTGGGTTCACAACCCCAGCGCCTGATTCTGGCATGATGACCAATTTCATTGAAATCGGGCAAGCTAGAGATAAAGTGCTAAGTTTAAAATTAGATCAAATATCAGACTCGGTTAGCGGTCAGACCACCGTTGATCCCAAAGGCTACTTAACAGATTTAAATAGTGTTGTGATAAAAAGTGATGCAGAAATTGGAGATATAAAAAAAGCCCGTCTATTGCTAAATTCCGTAATATCAACGAACCCTAAACACGCACCCGGTGAGTATTACTGTATAGTTCATATATCAATAAGATTGAAAATCGCAGTTTTTGCTTTCTTGGTTTTCTAATATAATATATCTTCGAACGTGCTTGTATAGGATGGATTGCTGCTGCTAGATTAGAAGAAGTAGCCGGGAAATTGTCGCAAGCCAGATCCATAATCTCCAAGGGGTGTGAAGAGTGCCCTAAGAGCGAAGACGTCTGGTTAGAGGCAGCACGCCTGAATACTAATGAAACTGCAAAGACAATTTTAGCGAACGCCGTTAGACATCTTCCTCAATCCGTCAAGATCTGGCTTCAAGCCGTCAAATTAGAAACTGACGCAAAGTCAAAAAAGAAGATTCTTCGAAGAGGTATGTATTTACTCGAAATCTGTTTAATCGTTCTGAATATGAATTTAGCGATATGCTCATATTTACATCTCTTCATGCTATAAAGCTCTTGAATTTGTTCCAAACTCTGTAAAACTCTGGAAAGAAGCCGTAAACATGGAAGACAACCCGTCGGATGCTCGTATCCTCCTGGCTCGTGCAACAGAGCTTGTTCCACTTTCTGTTGACCTGTGGTTAGCCTTGGCTCATTTAGAAACGTACGAAAACGCCAAAAAAGTTCTCAACAAGGCTCGCACTCATATTCCAACTTCCCATGATATTTGGATAGCCGCTGCTCGCTTGGAAGAGCAACAAGGGAACGAAAAAATGACGGACAAAATTATCGCACGTGCAGTGATCGTGTTGTCCGAGAAAGGGAGTGTTCTGGGTAGGGAACAATGGTTGCAGGAAGCAGAGAAGTGCGAACAAAAAGAGAGCATTGGAACTTGCCAGGCTATCGTAAGGAACACGATTGGTATGGGATTAGAAGAACAAGATAAAAAGGCAGTGTGGACAGAAGATGCCGAGAGTTGTGTTGCACACAAGTCTATTGAGACGGCGCGAGCGATTTATGCACATGCATTGAAAATCTTTCCTGGAAAGAAGTCGTTATGGAGGCGGGCGGCGTTTTTGGAGAAATCCTATGGAACAGGGGATTCATTGGAGGAATTGTTGCAAAGAGCGGTTAGGTTCTGTCCTCAGGCTGAAGTTCTGTGGTTAATGGGCGCTAAAGAGAAGTGGTTAGCAGTAAGTATTGTGGTTATGTACACACGAGCTTCTGTATATTATAAGCTTATTTAATTATTGTTTTTGTGTATCCTTTACGCACATAACAATCAAATATTCACTAATTGTAAACAAACTCATTAGGGTGATGTAGATGGCGCGAGGGCAATTCTAACTGAAGCTTTCCGCGCAAACCCAAATTCCGAGCAAATATGGCTAGCGGCTGTAAAACTCGAAGCAGAGAATGGCGAATACGAGCGTGCTCGCATGCTTCTTCAGAAAGCTCGTGAACAAGCTGGAACAGAAAAAGTCTGGATGAAATCTATTGTCCTTGAACGACAACTCGGACGAACGGATGAAGCTCTGTCCATGCTTGACGAGGCTCTTGCAAAATATCCTACGTTCGATAAACTATGGATGATCAGAGGGCAGATCGAAGAGGAAAAACAAGGCTTGTCGGTGGCGAGAGCGACGTATAACAAGGCTGTGAAAAACTGTCCAAAAAGCGTACCATTGTGGATATTGTCTTCCAGGTTGGAAGAAAAGGCTGATCTATTGATTAAAGCAAGGGCTACGTTGGAACGGGGACGGTTGTTGAATCCAAAAACCCCGGAATTGTGGTGTGAGGCTGTTCGAGTTGAATTGAGAGGCAATAACGTAAACATGGCGAAGGCTTTGCTGGCAAAAGGTACGTTATTGCTTATGTTATATCATTCCTTTATATTTTCAGTTTTACCTATGAAAATACACCACGGATAACTGACCACAACTACTATATCTCCCATCAACTCTGAAATTTAGCTCTGCAGGAATGTCCCAATTCAGGCCTGCTCTGGTCGGAAGCAATCTTCATGGAACCTCGAGCACAAAGAAAGACGAAATCGGTGGACGCGCTTAAAAAATGTGACAATGACGCTATTGTTATAACCACTGTTGCTCGCCTCTTTTGGGCAGAGCGTAAAGTTGCGAAAGCTCGCACTTGGTTTGAGAAATCGATAAAGGTGAACCCTGACATGGGTGACTCTTGGGCGTGGCTCTATAAATTTGAGCAACAGCATGGAACCGAGCAGCATCAGCAGGACGTGATTTCTCGGTGTGTTGCTGCTGAACCACATCATGGCGAGAAATGGCAGGTTGTCGCAAAGGATATGAAAAATGTAGGAAAGAATACAGAGGAGCTTTTGAAGATGGTGGCTGAGCAGTTGTCATAATCTGGATAAATATTTGGCTGCAGAGTAGACGAAAGTGTTATTATATACATTATGGATAGTAAATTTTATTGTAGTCTAATCTGTTTGTATATGACGAGATAGAGTAGCCATACATTTGAAACACTGGCGCAGTTGAATATCCCAAGTAAGTTAAGGAGATATAAATAATACGTACGAGCTATTATCCAACAAACTTTTTTTTTGTTCACACTTTGAAATAATGAAAGATTGCTCTTCGGCCAACTGTCCTGTGTGATTCGTTTCCTCGCTCGAATCTTTACGTGATCATTCATATGTTGTCATTGTATGGGAAGCAAATGACGAGCATCCCCTCAAGCAGCTCTTAAGATGAGCTATAGTAGGAATTGGAGAATTCTTCAGTACGTTGAATTATGCCAATGAGATTAACTCTCAAATTTTAGTTCTTCCAACAAAATCATAGAAAGTAAATCATGATAGAAACAGACAAATACGCCTTTTCGTCGAGTGACCTTAACCCGTAGTTCCTTAACGCGATTATAGCACGCTGATGAAGATTACAGCCGGGCAGTACTTAATATTAAACATACTGATCGTAAATGCGAAGACTAGGCATTAGAGTATTATAATTTTTTTTTGTACCGAATTAGGAATAGATTTACCTTGGAGAAAAATGATAAAAGCAAATGTTGAGATTCCGATTCCAAGCGGACCCAGTTTAAGGTCCTTTGTTTGACTACAATTGAAAGAGATACTTTATTCATTTACCGCAAAGCTTCATAAAATTCTCTCAAGATATATATTACGTGCTCACTTTTTGTTTCAGCGACTAGGAAAGAAAGCAAAACTCAACCTTTCCATGTCATTCTAACTTACCACGTACGAGAAGGGTGACTCGATTGCTGTCACGTTAAATCATCTTTGAAGTACAAGTCAAACTTTGAGGTTACGTAATTCGATAAACTAGGCTGCGAAAAAGGTTTGTCGGAAATTACTATATAATACTACTTGCTATAATAATAGATAATAAACTTTCAGAGTGATCTCTCTATTTACAGACGAAGCATTTGCTCAGTATTAATATGCTGCTGTAAAGCCCTTTGATCGAAAGACGCAAAGGTCAGTCGGGCCGGAATTTATTTGTCGAGTTTTGTTGGAGAAAGCTAAGAACACAGTGGAGATCTCTATATTATTACAGTCAAACTCTGCTTATACCAAACGGCATAGCTCTCTGTGTCCTTCCGGATCCGGTACATGGAAAGTTTATAAGAGACTCTGGTATAAACAAAGAATTTTCATATGAAACGAAGGGTGCGCAAGAATCTGTCCGTGAGATTCCGGTATATACATTTCCAGTATAAACAGAGTTGACTGTATTTTCACTACCTATTCCTAGATAAACTATCAACATCAATTGGCCTTTGCCAAGATGGCTGATTGATAATTTGGGATGAGTGTCGTAAGAGAGGTTCGGAAACGGGGAATCGGTTGGTGAGAATTGATACTTATATTTAGTTAAAGAGACACTCTATTAGTGCTATTAATAGGTTTTTATCATATACCAAGTTAAGTCTTAGCGATTGGTCGTTACTATGCAATCAGCTAATGATTCAAAGCACCATGATGATATAATCAATCGTAATACGAGTTACAGAACGCATCATTAAACTTGTGATATTATTTAAAGAAATGCGTATATTTAATTTAAACAAAGCCTATCGAATTCTTCAACTAATAAAGCAGCATCTTTCAACATAGTGTACATATTACTCCATTCTAATGTTCATATATGCATTGCGAATTTATTGTCAAATGAAGGTATTGTTTTATTCTCACGATTCACCTTCGTATTCTTCGAATGTTCGTCTTAACAGCCTCTGTAGATGTAACATGCTGATTCTCTTGGTCGTTGGCACGATCCTTCCGACTCGTTTTTGGTGTTTTCTCTACTTTTTTGCTAGACTTGCGACCATCCTTACGGCGCGCTGACAGATGACAAAATATCATCATCATTAGCATAACTTGATAAAAATTACAAATATAAAAGTGCTTTTTTTAAAATCTTACCTTTCTTCTGTGTCCCTGATGTAGCTTTCCGCTCCCGATCCCGATCCTGTTCTCGTTCTCGTTCCCGCTCTCGTTCTCGTTCCCGCTTGCGTTCCCGTCGTTTCTGTCGTTTCTGCTCGCGTTCTCGTTCTATTCGTTCCTGTCGTTCTCGCTCGCGCTCTTGTTCTTCGTTGAGCGATTGATGATCCTTGTGATGATTGTAAGTATCATTACAGGAAAAAGAAGGATGGGATCAGTAAAAGGAATCATGATGAAACTGATAATAAAAAGTTCCGTGGGCGTCTGTTTTGCGCTCATCATAACTATAATTGATTATCCTCAAAGCCAGGACAAACAGGAAACATGACTACAGCAGTCACAAAGCCTGGCTGGCTAATTAGAAATCTGGTGGGGGATGAGAAGATATCTAGAATTCACAAGTTACCATGGGTTGACCTCACAACTTACTTCAATTATTTCGTATTCTTCATCTGACCTGGTATTGACATATATCTCTGTTAGTGGTTGGCGAGAAGTTGACGCTGACTGCAGTTTATCTTTTTGATTTCTATGGTTTTGCTCAGTACACTCTCCGGAATATTTTTTCTTGACTGGATCATAATTCTCTTTATTACTTTCGTGACAGTGTGAGGAATGTTCTCGGCGAGTCATTATTGAGGTTAAAAGTTCTAATTAATGAGCGTTGACTTACTAATAAACGGTTTGTTCGATTAGATTAAGATGGGGTCTAACATTTTTTTTTACGCGACTTTGGGACGCATGACATTGTGATATCATCGAATGTGACACGCGATTTGGGCATCAACAGATCCGCGATTTAATGCTTACATTGTATTGGTGGATAACAGGGTATGATTTCCGGCAAAAATGTCACCTTTTATAATATATGGCGTGCTGCAAGATAACAACATAAGGCTTTTACTTTCTCTTTCTATATAATTTAGTTTTCTATTGCTCCATACCTTACTACATCTTTGAGATCACCGATACTAGTTTCTAACTAAGCATTTAACATGCCCACGGGAGCAAGTTATATAAACTGCTCTTTTTTGTTCAATCCTCTATTTTTTCTCTTTTCTTGGTTATTCTTATTCCTGTGCAATTTAACACTGATACTGGCTCTAGAACTCTAGATGATAAATATTTGGAGCTTTGGCGTGTCCGCTGATGGGAGAATAATCATCAGGTAGGACATGAAATTTTCTTAGGGAAGTTTCCTTCATAAGTATGTATATATTAATATATGTATATATTAATATATGTATATATCAAAATATAATATATATACACAAGTGAAACTCGATATAACGACACTGCTATATAACGACAACCTTGATAAACCGACAGTAGCAGAACAAAGGACGTTTATAATAAACCTTATTTGGTGTAGCGACATCGTATGTAAATTTTCGTTATAACGGTATAATAATAACGACGTTTTTGGGAAATGCTGGTTGGACAGGCTCTAATAAAGTACCGGGATATATCGACGTTTAATATAACATACATTTTTGAGACGATTAAATTAGGCAAATTCAAGTAATACACATCTCTGATCCTAGTATTTTTGGTTACCCTTCGTAATTGTCTCGTTCGTTTACCTTAAGCACTAGTCGTAATCAAGTCTCATTTACAAATAATGAGATTAATAAAGCAGAAAAGGTGGGTTAGAAAGTTGATCTTACAATGTTCTATTCAAAATACTGGACTTTTTTGTCAATCTGTACGCTAACGCTGGAAGCTTTCCTTATAGTTAATTTTTCATGAAAATTAGACTGATATCGGGCATGTCTTTAGTCTATGGTCACAAACATTTAGTCATGGTAATATGGCCTAGCGTTTAAAATGACTTTTATGTTGCGGCTTGAATGTGAATGTACCATCCTAACTTCTATAAAGAGTTAGTGGGTGGCAGGGCAATGGTTGTAAAATATATGGGGCATGCTGCAACAAAACCAGACAGAATGAGCATTTTATTATGTGACATAAATGAGAGGCTGATGTGGCTAAAAGTTAACTAATTTGACTATCACAACTGTGACTCATACACAAATTACAGTTTTAAATTAATGTCATGCCAGAATGTGACTAATATGAAGTCGTAATAATAACGTGGTTACCGTATTCTTCCGAAAATAAGCAACGCTTCGGAAAAATTGATTATTTTATTATTAATTATTTTATTATTACAATAAAAATTTTATAAAATTGTCGGAAAAGATTAATCCGTGATATCAGTCTCATCAATGATGTCAATAATATCATCCTCGCCAATGACGAAATGAGGCTTTTCTACCAGCACCAACCCGCTTACTTTTTTTCCTTTGTTTCGCTTGTCCATTTTAAACTTGCACTTACCCAACGACTTACCATACCACAATCAATGTCAAAGTGTCTTGCTGCTTGGTTATTTTCATGGTTTTTTGCATAGGCAATAATCTCCTTTTTATGTTCAATTGAGTACGAATTTCGTGTTCGTTTACAATTTGGTCTTACGTTTATCAACCCTTCTCTGTTTTGTCATTTGTATAGAAGAAAGAATAGGTTTAAAACCTGTTTCGCGTATTTACGTGATAAATCACGGATGATGAATCTGAAATTTATCGACAAAAATCACATGATTCGGTGGTTGCGTGATCGAATTTCTTTCGTTTTATTAAACTACCCGAAAATAAGCAACACTATAATAATATAGCGTATAGGTGGTAGAATTTCCGACAGAAACTGATCTTGGCTTATTAATGCTGTAATGAAGATCGATAAATCAAGAGCTGAAATAAAAATGTGATGGAAACGAAAACTGTCCCAACAATGGCTATGACCCTAATATGTGTAGGAGACCAAACATATAATGCATTCTCTCTTCGCTGCTCTATTAAAACCGTACGTATCATGTGCATATTTTAGGTACACAGCACAAAATCATGAATAAAAGCTATATGCTGTAACGTTTTCCCAATACAACTATATTACAACCCACATTACTATATCTACTCTACTATGTACACACTACTCTATGTCCCTAACGCCCGAGTCACAAAGTCGTTACCTGGCTGAGCAGATGTTACTTTCAGCGGCTTCTTCGCGGAAGGAGCAACGTTCTTCTCCACCAGACTATTCGGCTCAAGATCCGCTTCCTCGTCGTATCTTTGGAGGATAATGTCAGCGGTGGCCATATCGTTTAATTTAACCTCGGTTTGAGCTTTTCCTTTATCGCCTCCTTCAGGTCGGCAACATCCGATAGAAAATATACAGTTTATTATGAAGAAAAAAGAATGCCCAAAAATTGAAGCAATTTATGAGTGAAGAGTGGGAAAAAATCACCCAAAAAATAGTACAAAATATTATTTGTCTATGAAACGGAGATGTAAACTAATTTTACAACACGACAATAAAATTACATATTGAAATTATTTTCATTAATAAAGCAGCTCATAACCTAAATGAGCCTAAATTTATCTAGTTATGTTGTATAATGTGGAAACCCAAATTTGTTACCACCATTTATTTTTTTATTTTTTTGAGATACACTGTATATGGTGGCTTAATCAATGACGTATTATTAGAAGCTTTCTAGACCTTTTCATAATGTAACCTGTATGCAGAATGTATGACCAATGATAATCAACGCGCAGAAATTGCGCTAGTACAAGTGAAACTTGAAGCCGAAGTTGCGTGTTTTTGATTTCCCAAAATTTTATTATTATTATTATAGCCTAAGCCGGAATTAATTAGTAAATTCGCGTTAAATGATAAGCCGAAGATTTTTGGCTAACCGACTACATAGTAATAGGCAGATGGCTGGCCTGGTAGAACCGACTTGAGAAACCGACTTATCGAATCCACGTGACTAATTTAGTAAAAATTTATTTTTGCAGAAAACGAATTGTTAGATGGAAAAACCATTATTCTAAATAAATATCCATTCTCGTTTGTATCAAAGAATCCGTTCGCTTCTTCACAATTTCCCATTTTAAGTCTCTTAACCCTGAAACTAATAAACTGTTTACTTTTATATCGTTATTCTGCTGCAAATAGTTATATAAATTTTGAATGCTTTCTAAGCCATTTTGTTAGATACCATAAAAACCTCATTTTGTTGTCATCTTCTCTTTCATCCTTGGACGGCTGCAATAATTTTATTATCATTAGGAATATTGTTTTTTTCTAAGTACTACATAGTCCTTTCCTCTCATGACAGAATAATCAACGACCGTTTGATCAATAAGCGATTGTGCGATTTCATCTTCTATCTCAATGTCACTATCTGGTGGTGGTTCATAATTAATGACTTCCGACTCGTCAGGCAGAATATCAGTTCTCTCCCAGTACCTATATATTACATCTTCGGTCACATTTCTCCACAGTTCTGTAACCTAGTCGATTTAAAGTAGGAATCTCAGTTCCATATTCCTGAAATCGATCAAATGCAAGTATTTTATATTAGCGTTACTGTTTATTATGCGAATTAGTAAATGAGTTTGAAATTCGATTAGATGCTTTTTTGCTCATGGGGAATAATAGAGGAAGTATCTTGAGCTCGAAGTTTTGCTTCTCTTTTTCTTTCTCTTATTTCGTTACTAACCTGTTCTTTATGTACCCGATCCTGAAAATCATCAATTTCCTTATCTTCTGGTGATTTGGGGTTTGTACAAATAAGTGGTTCAGAGTATTGAATATCCGACTCCTGGTGTATATCAGAATTGTCGCAGAGTGGTTAGATATATTATCTAGTATATTTTCTACTTTTTCATCAGAGCTGGGGTGGTTAAGATTATTGTTAGAATTTATTTCAGGAGAAATAGCACTTTGTGTCTGCTCGAGATTTACAGAATTGGTCTTATCATCCGTGCCAGAATAGATGATGAAATAGGTGTTTGTAAAGTTAATGAACAAGGCCGGTGAAACTGAAGACTGCAAAACATTATTAATAGTTCGATTTTGCTTTATCATTTGTTTTAGTTTGGTATTTTCGATTCCAAGATTAGTAATTTCTCCTATAATCTGTTTTAATTTAGTGTTTTCAGCTTCAAGCTTAGTAACTCGCTGTTTCAATAATTCAAGCTCCGATGATGATAATTTTTATATAAGATAAATATTTATTCAAAATTTCGAATTAATAAAAATTATGTGCGCGTTCCAAATGGAACGCCGATCACTTTTACCAAAAAAATTCTCAATCATATGTGGCATTGATATCAAAACATTAGAAAAATTCACGAAACACATGCAAAAGTAAACTGATCATATATGCGAAATCGAGCCACTAGGGCCAGCTTTATTGATACAACAAAATAAAAATATATTACAGGAGTATAAAATATACCGAATTAACTTATCTACGCTTTTTCGTTTTTTATTTTTTCACGTCTTTATTATCCATTCCCTTCCTTGACTCATCCCATTTTTATCGTCTCCCGATATCGCATCACTAGATCGTTTATTCGCGCCTTTATTATTAATTCCCAAGTTGATCTCTAGTGCATATTGGGTTATTTTATTAATCCATCCCGGAATTTTCTGATAATCTCACCTTTAGCTGTCTTGTATTTTTGCGGGGGGAATTTTTCAAAGACGTCCGGTGGTACGGCAAAATATACATCAATGTCATTCACGTCTTTTCTCCACGCGAGCGAGCTGTTAAGATCATTAAGTCCTTTAATCTTGTACAACCTGAATTAATTGCTAGTCGAAAAACTATAAATTCAATTATATTCATTGTCCTTTACCTTTACGCCGTAATTTTTGGAGACCGTAATTTGATACAAGGCCAGGTCATTGTTGTCAAGACTAAAAGAATCAATTGACGCGAATGTTCTTGATTTTGGTCTGTTATAGTACTCCTTACGTGCTTCATTTAATGTCATGAACAAATTACATTCCAGCTTTTCGATATGTTTTTCGGTAACCTCTGAGTTATCATTATTTAGGCACCGTATCCTAAACGTACCACCATTTTGCAACTCCCGATGGGCAAAATCTTCGAATAGGTTTCCCCGAAATCCAGCGATCTTTGGACTGCTCATAATTAAATCTCGAGCGCTACCTTTGTTCTAATTTCATATTCCTGAATAATTTTTTCGGATATTTTTGTAGAAGCAAAACGATACACTAATTCGTAAACGTTGGATCCACCTCAAGATGTATAAGCCTTATCAATGGATTTTACACAGCTTTTTAAGTCAGCTCCATCAATCAGTCATTGGTATTTCTGCTGATATGTTTTATCATCCCACTTTAAAAGAACCGACCTGGGTACAGGTCTCCACTTTCCCAGAAGGGTCTCGAGTAATTTAAGCGTGAGCTCTTTGCCTTAATGATTTTTTTTATTCTTATATTGAAAGGTCCAAAGCATGTTAATTTCTTCTTGATCCCAAACTGGCATGAAGTATTGAGTAAAACCTGGCCATTTGATAGCCCTATTGAATCCTTCTACTGTGAGCAGGATCATATAGGCCGAATATGGAAATGTCAAAGCTTGCGCGTCAACGAGAAGGATTATTCAGCGTAATGTCGAACCGGTAAATATCCCCCTTTTGCACCGTCCGGTGAGAATTGATAACAAATTTTTTCGTTATATTGCCAGACTATTACGGCCTTAGGGTAATTATAACGAATGTAAAAAATGAGATATAGACCAAAGTATGTTTTTCCGATACCAGGTGTACCAGTAATCGCGCAACCTCTTCTGGCAGGACCACCTTGCTTCCTATTCACCTCAATTAAATCAAGTAACTGCAAATAACAGTTCCGTATAAGAAGCTTTGATCCATTAACCTTATCTCCCAGAAAGAACACACCATCCGGTAAGCATAGCATTCCTCCAAAGTCATTTATTAGTTTTGATGGCAATTTCACATCCATTCTGTCTCATAGCATACCATATGAATCAGTAATCACACCCTTGTTTAGGCAGACATGATTATTTTCAATCGTAGAGTAAGATTCCAGATCATTTAATTCAGCTTCTTCCATATCTTGCGGTATCAGGAACATTATTCTTGCGTCAAGAAGTTTTTTCCAACATTCGACAACACCGGATTCAGATACCATGAAAAAAAAAACAAAGATATAATTAGTCATTTTGCATTTCTTCAGCACAAGAATATAACGCCTTTTGTAGTTGATGGATAAAACAAGTTTGCAACTTATAAAAAGTAAAACTTGAGCAAAGTCCAAATAAGAATCTCTATAAACAGACGTTATTCTTGTGATTTGTGGTCTATATGACAGCACAACGATATGAATGGAGAGCTTGTTTTCATTAAGTTGGACAATTTGCGAGTTTCGTTTTTATTTAAAGATTTGAATATAAAATTGCAAAGATTAACATAATCAATAATTGATACATGTAATTCGTCATATAAAAACAAAGATTCACTGGAGAGATTGCATGGCTCGGTCCCAAGCCATTGTCCAAATCATCAGTAGCCCATTTGAGATGGGAATGATGCCAAGCTCCCATTCACAGTCTTAATTTGTCACTTTCCCCAGTTATTGATGTACCAATGCGGTACGAGCGTATCATATGACAACGTAGCGCCTCGCAGGGTCAATTTCTTTAAACTGCTCACAAAAGTCTTACTACGGATACAATGGGATTATTAAAGAGATTATTTCGGATATTATTCTCTATTAGACGAGCCACAAGGTTAGTTGAAAGACCTAAGAATATAGACTCCGTTGAATATGCTTTCGATTATTATAAGCATAATATGCGACACTCCGATAGTCAGCTCTGGTTACTTCCTACCAATGAGTTCTTGAGAACATTGTTGTGTAAAAACTAAATTCTTAGATAGGTTGTCATCACACATTGTTGTACAGTACCTTGTTAATCTTAACCTTATTATCTACAATTTTGAATCTCGTGTTGCTGTTAGAGGTTTGTCCTTCGGCTAAGCACTAACAAATCATTAATAGATTGGATGCATTCTCATTTCGTGTTCTTGATCAAAGAACGGATAACCACTTGGTACTAAACGGATCACCGGCAGCTTGTCGGTAATCCATAAGAGACAATTAATACCTTGTTGCAGAGTCGTTGGTCGACTCTCTGCTGAGATCATCTCTTGTCTATGTCATTTGATGTCATCGCAACATCTTAGATCGGAATTTTGAACATCTCCGTACAGCTGCGCCTGGTTGCCTGTAACCACTCAAAAGCCGACGACAGCCATGTGAGCCATTGTTGTGCGACTTGCGATAATCAACATCCACATGCCATTCACATTTGCAACATGTTGTCAGCGATTTTTGGTGAAACCAACAAACGCAAGTAATCTGACATAAATGGTTATACTTCATTCATTTTTTTTCCCACTCCGCACTTCTCCGCTTTTGTATTCATTTTTGTACATCACGTGTGTACAAATAAAACAGATCAAGCTTCTTATATAACCGCTACGCACAAGTGAGTAATGTCCGTAGTAAAACGCATTTCACAATTACAAGAACATCTGAACTCTGGGAATATGTCTGGTGAGATAGATAGATAGAGAGGAATATCCGATACCCTCAATTACAGCTTGCATTAAACACTGCATTTTTCACGCGGCCGATTGTCATCTATCTGATAATCGACAATCTCTCAACATTTCCCAAACTATTCTACGCAGCATCACTTTTTCAGCAAATAGAAGAAGCTCAACCCGATGCTATCTTTCATTTATCTGCTCTATGGAGGAACGACCCTGATAGTAGAAAGGTCAACCTGGGTATTGGTGCATACAGAGACGACGATGGTAAACCCTGGGTTTTGCCTGTAGTACGCAAGGTAAGATGCTAATTTAAGAGCGGAACAAGTGAGAAACAAAATTAAAGAACTTTTTTGTATGGGGACAAAACAATTAGTCAAAACTTGAACGTAATGCCTTATATTCGTCCTTCATATATTTGTAGGCAGAAACCATTATTTATAATGATCCAAACTTAAATCATGAATACCTCTCAATTACCGGTATGCCCGAGTTCAGGGAAGCTGCGGCCAGGCTGATACTAGGAGCTGACAATCCAGCTATTGGAGAAAAACGAGTATGTGTCTATGGTCTGTTTAAAAATCAGTGAGCGTTATAGAACAGCATGAATAAGAAACCCGGCTTACGAAAACGGTTACGTACCGCGCCGAGGCGGACACCATATTTTTACCATCACGCTCACATACACATATCGATCCTGTTCTGCGTGTTTGCAGATAGTCGCTGTTCAAACTATCTCTGGCACAGGGGCTGTCCATACGGCTGCTGCGTTCTTGTCACGATTCTATCGTAAAGATGTACCCGTGTTGATTTCTAACCCTACTTGGAGTATGTATTCTCGTAAAATGTTTATTCCATAATATGCCTACTCGTTACATGTTGTTCCGTCCTTTTTCGTTACAAACTCGAATCTAACTTGAGTTGTCTTAATTTGTCACTAAGTCAATCACAAGTTGATCTTTAAAGGAGTTGGAATAGATATAGTAGAATATCCTTATTGGAACCCGCATACGAAAGGATTGGAAATTGACGGAATGCTTAAGGCTCTCGAGGTAGAAAGCGAAGCTATATAAATTTATTGCTGACGCGATTAATTGACTGATGGTACTTGCTGTCTTTTCATTGTCACCGTTCCTTTACAGGATGCCAAACCAGGCTCAATCGTTCTTCTTCATGCGTGCGCACATAATCCCACCGGTGTAGACCCGACTCAAGAGCAATGGAAACAAATTGCTGACGTCTGTGAGGTACGTCATACCTATTCCGACACGGATCAGAACCATTCAATTCATCATCATTAATAAATTTCATCTTTCCCCGAATCAGGCCAAAACACACTTTCCGTTCTTCGATTGCGCATACCAGGGCTTTGCCAGCGGTGACCTAGATCGTGATGCTTGGGCCGTACGGTACTTTGTTGAAAGAGGATTCGAGACACTTGTCGCTCAATCATTTTCCAAAAACTTTGGGTTATATTGTAATATTTTCTCTACATTATGGTTTGCGGTAGGCGGGGGGCAGAGTTGTGATGGAAATAGAATGGTACCGCTCGGGAGGGGGAGGGAGAAAGAGCTATGATAGTTTGGTTTACCCAATGTTTGTTCACACATATCTAAAATCTATTTTAGGCCAGCGTACAGGATGTTTGACTGTTGTGCTCAACAATGCAAGCGTTGCAAAGAAGGTCGAAAGCCAAATGGCTATTATCCAACGATCAGAGATCAGCAATCCTCCGGCCCATGGTGCAAGGATTGTCAATATCGTTCTTCATGATCCTGAGCTATATAATGAGTGGTAAGCAATAGGTTGAAATTATTACGCAAGGAAGAATATGGGGTCTGCAAACGTGTATAAGAGTTCATGTAAAGTATACCTTACGGGAAAATAATAGTTATTATACAAATATGTAGGCTGAATGTGATACGATTGTTGGCGAGGAATGTTGATAGTAAATTTTGTAAAAAAAAAATTTCTTTTTGTTTTTTATTTTCATAGGGTACAGAATCTGAAAACAATGAGTTCAAGAATTCAAGAAATGCGTCAGCGTCTTTACAACAAATTGATCGAGTTGAAAACTCCTGGCACTTGGAACCACATTGTTGACCAAATTGGGATGTTTTCTTTCACCGGACTCAAAGGTAAATCGTGATTATATGTGTTGAGAATGTCCGCCTACCAGGTCATATAAATGCTGACATGAATGTTATATATTCTACCTTTAGGCAAACAAGTTCAAGTACTCAAGGAAAAATACCATGTCTATCTAACTGACAATGGCCGTATTTCCATGGCTGGATTGTCTTCTAAGAATGTAGACTACTTTGCCAAAGCCGTTGATGATGTTGTAAGAACCGTTTCTCCTCAGTGAATGGAAGGAAATGATATGGGTGTAGAGTACAAGCGTCGGTCAATGCTGTGGTTTCGATGGATGGCAACGAGCAATATAGTCATGGTAAAATTAAGAACCCTGCTTATTTATTGTCAAATAAATAGATAGCTTTAATTGTGGCAATCATTGTAGTCTAATTGGACTATTGATTGACTTGCTATGCTGGCTGATGTATTAATTAAGATCTATGTTGGTTGATGTGAAATTAGGATAAGTAAATTGTGTGATATAATTAATTTAGCAATATGCCTATCTCAGTATGCGCAGATTTTTTTTTTCGTTGGAAACCATAAAGGGTATTGAAATCCCCTCCTAACAAAATATCTGTGAGGGTTATTGCATAAAATAGGATCTAATTGACCCCGTCTCTGACCTCAATCTCCAAGAAAGACACGCTATATTAAGTATAAGACTTGCTTTAAGAAAGAATGATCTAAATTTCCCAATGAGAATGGATATAGCGTGCAATTTAAGGATAGATAGGAAAATCGACAATATTATAATGAGTCAGTTAAAAGTAGGTCTCACGCGACCGTTTGTGCATGCTTTACTGAGGTTCTATATAATTTAAACTTCGTGGCCAAAGTAGTACAATGCGGCATAAGGTACGCAAATTGATTCTGCGAAGGGAAAGTATGTGTCTTCATTCTGGATTGTCATTTAGTAAATCGGATTATTTGCGTAAGTGATCACAAAAAAGATATGCATAGTTGGAATTACCATTCGAAATATATTTATTACTACATATGACTACTTATCATAAAGTGATTAAGCGTTTATCATATTTGCCTTGCGCTTTTCGGCGGCGTCATAATGCAGTTAGAGAGAATGGTCAAATACAGGCACCAGGTCCTCCAATATGTCGTCATCGCACATTTCTTCGACATCGATCGTTTTACGCACAATCATTCAAACATTAAATGATTTTATATTAATGCAAATAACGAAAGTATCAATACTGACCTTTGCCTTCCACATCAAAACCAAACATTTAAGAGCTTTTTCGAATTGGTTGACATTGGTTGGTACCTGTATAATAACATAATAAATATTTTGTAACAATCCATCAAGGCCTTAACTAGTTAAAAAAAAAATCATCTACCTGGTTAATGAAACTAACAAGCTCAAATTGACGAAACTTGTCGGCTTTCTATTCAACAAAATTGCCCAGGTCAACAATCATGTCTTTAAGCATCTTTGGGCTTTTTAGTCCTCTCTCCTTTAGTGATTTTGATACATTGTCCCCCTTATAGTTCTTTCCTACTTCAGAAGCACCATATTTACGGGGCCCTTTTCTTACGATGAGACGCCCCTTCTTCCGATACATTTTCTCGTTGTCTTCATAATTCCTTGAACTATTATTTTTACGCTTTAATGAAGCAAGACTACATGATTCACCTCTGGCAATATCAGCTCCTTCCAATTCATTAAAACATTTATCAATAAATGACCATTGTGCCATGCCTCCAAATGTTTTTGTTGCAATGCATCTGACTCATATTCTAGATACTATTCTTAACCCAATCGAAATTAAAATGGTTTGTTCTTTCGAAATTTTCGCCTTCCCAATCTTGTCGTACATTAAGTACGAAGCGCAAATCTTTCGTTGTTTTCACTCAGAATGAGCTGATATACTCCAATAATTGTCTCGGCATTTCTGGGAGGACCTTTACTATCGCCCTTACTACGATAGTTGTGCAATTAAGACTGACTTAAGCCTCAAGTGACCTATTTTGCTTTTCACTCCCTATTCGAGTTTCAAACACTCGTGAATACAAATAAGGGTACCTTAATAAAATAGTAACAACTAAAGAATCGAAGGGGAATAATACTATTTTTAAATTTAAACAGGGCTATCTTCGATTTGTTTTTTCGACGTCGGGTATCCGTCACTTGTCTTACTAAACTAATCAACAATATTCGTCTCGAAATTATGAACTCTTGTTCCGTTATTCACGTAATTGATCAGCGGACAGCTTATTAGCTTGATCAAATCAATGCTATTCCGTTACAGTTTAAGTGAGCCGTTTATTGGAGTGTCCGGTCTAATAATCAATTATTTCGACGATAGAAATTAAATTATGTATATTTATAATAAAGGGTTTCGGGAGAATACTACTAAGATCAGTAGTATTATTTTATTTCACAGCATGGACAATATTACAACATGAAAATTTGACGATGGAGGAAGAGCTACTTATATATCTTTTTTGTCACAAGAAAAACGACACGCTTCTATATAAATTATTATACTATGAAGAATAATTAATTTTAGCTCACATATTTTGCTGCAAATTAGCGACACGCTGCTGCGCCACGCTACTAAATTAATGTGACGCTAATGCTGAAATCCCCGTGACCGTTTTTCTGTTACCTAATCGTTGCAGGAACCGTGGCTTATAATCTCAAAAATCATGTCATGGTCACACAATTGCTCTTTACGGTATGCATATCGATATTCTAACATCCTAAAGGGCGTTCATTAAATCATCGCGGGATTTATTTGAGAGCGACAAAACTTGTAACAGTATGGAACATGACCGTATTCCATCCACAATCTAGGTAATTCTTTTGACCTTTCTGTGTCATTATCGAAAGCTAAAAACAAGAAACCTTTGGGAAGCCGTGGCTGTTCTACAGCTAAACTTTCTAACCAGTTAGTAAACATCTTATAGCAACCGGAGTTCATAATATGGTTATCGATGTCAATAACCATTCTTGATCTTGCTACTGATATTTAATTGCTGAAGCGGTCAAATTAATAGCAGAGACGGATTTTAAGTGTCTTGATCCGTATATGGATCAACCGCTACGACGCACTTAAAAAGCCTTTCCCTTTTATGTTGATTTTTCTTTTCGTTATGAGTAAGAGTTTCAATAAACTTCACAGCGACTGGATTTCGCCCAGCAAGCCATTTGGAAGGAGAATATTCTAAAAGACTATCTAAACCAAATCGCTCATTATATCATCGTACAAATTACCGTATTTCACCGACACGAGTACCCCGGGTATTCCCCTTGTTCGTTTTAGTACCCGGGGTACTCGTGTGGGGGGGGGTACATCGTACGGATGGGGGGTACATATCTCGATTTGTTTCTTT